GGGCTGCCTCCCCGCCTTGCTCCTAATACACTTTAAATGGAGGGTGGCAGGGGGGGTGGGTCCCAGACCCGGCATGAGCCAGTACTGAGCCGGGCTGCTGGTCAGCCTGCTAAAAAGTGTAGTGGTGGGAGGAGGGGAGAAAGATGCCTGTAGTCTGTAGCATTAACCTATAAGCTTTTGCTTATCAGTTAATCAACTACACTATTACTGTGTGCTCTAGTGTCGGGTGTGGGAGGTGGACACAGCTGTAAAGAACACACTCCACATCTGTAATGCAGCTAGAGCATTCTGTGACTTTCAGCACACACATAGCTATGTGAGCTCAATAAAAATGCGTGTGGGAAGGAGCTGGCTGTGCAGACTGAGCCGCCCCTGAGGCTACCTAGTCCAATGGGTGAACACTGATTAATATAGTGGCACCATTTTTTTTTGGATTGCAACTAATTTTTGGTCAAAAGCAACAGTAATTAAAACAGATTTACAATGTTCAGCCATGAAAGTAGAACAGACATTGCTGTTCTCATTTATTCATCTGCAAATTATGCAATTAGGATTCCAAAGCAAGGGAAAAAAGTCTAATTGTTTGCCAGGCTGAACCCTTCCTGCTCCCTACTCTTCTCTGTACTGCCCTCTGTGCCTGAAAGGTGCTCTTGCCTCACTGCACCCCAAGTATAGTCACCATTTCAATGGCCTTTCTACACAGCTAATCACAACTCACCTACCCTGCATAGTTAAGCAATCTCCTATACTGGTGACCCTGATCACTCATTTGCTGTTGAACCCACCCACACCTTTTCATGCCTCTCCACCCTGTTTTATATAACCCCACATACAAGAACAGACTTCCTTTGTCCCACTGTTCTGCAATCCTATCCACTCCTTTATACATCATAGACATGCCATTTCCCTCGAGTAAAGCCCTGCATGGTTACAAAATCTGATCTGAATCCACCTCTGTATCCTCAAAAAAATGAGCTGCAGATATCTGCAGATTTGCAGGGCTCTAATCATGAGGCTGACCCCACTCTCCCATTCTTCCTCCACAACTGCTGTGACCCGCCCTTCTGACCATTCCCCATTCCACATTTTACTACTCCCCCTGCTTCTTTTGCTGCTACCCACTCTATAAGTCTGACCACTTCTCCATCTCCCTCTGCTATTACTTTCTCTGTCAGCCTGATTGTTTCTCAGTCCCTCTCTGCCATGTCCCATCCTACACTTCAAACTTCAAATCTGCTAATATGAAATGCCAGCAATCCAAATACTAGCAACACGTGGAGCACCTGGAGTTCGTGGCATGTCATACCGTAGCTGACACAACAGTTTAAGTATAAAAAACCTGTTTTAAAGAATGCATAGTTTTGATTTTTTAAAGAAAAAACAGAAAGCCTTGCTATATCACATGCAAAAACCATAATATCTGCTCCCGAGAATCAGCATCATGGTATGAATCTTGGTCCTTCACAAACTTCTACCACTTGAGCCAAAGAGGTTAACCTGTTACCATCTGTGAGGATTAACACTAGAGGGGGACTTTACACATATTTTGCCAAGAGGTTACAAACTATTTGCTAATATTCTGCTGCTGTCTAGTAATCATGACTAAGTTCTCTCTCTGGCTCTAGAAGAGAAATGTGGTCTTGCATTTGGTAACCAAAGCACTTAGATTTGGCACATTCAGTATGAAAGACAGTATGTCTCAGAGGAAAAGACTTGAGTCTGCTATATTAGAGATCTGACTTTTATTCCCAATTTACTCTGTGCAAAGTTTGTTAATATATTTGAAAATGAAGATTGAGAAGGCTAATAGTAGATTGCTTTCCAAGTTTGGTTACAATCCTTTGATCAGTAATAGGGGCTATAAACACACTGAAATATAAATGGCACACAGTAAAGGTGAAACCACAACTCGTGGTCTTCTCACTCACAGCTTTCCGTAGGCACACAGTATTTAGATAAGGCGTTGTTAATGTGCAGAAATGTACCTGATTTAGTGCAGCAAAACTGACATCCTCAAGCAGTTCAAATACAGAACATTTTGTACACCTAGAGAGTTCTGCCCAATCCTGCATGTTTTGTCATCTTTTAGTCCATGTGCTTTAACTCTTCTTCAGTCCAACTCCACTGTGACCCCTTGTCCACCCTGTAAGCCTCACCACCTCATCCTGTGCTCTGCTCTCCATGGCTGTGTCTAGACTGGCAAGTTTTTCCGCAAAAGCAGATGCTTTTGCAGAAAAACTTGCCAGCTGTCTACACTGGCCGCTTGAATTTCCGCAAGAACACTGACTTCCTACTGTCTGAAATCAGTGCTTCTTGCAGAAATACTATGCTGCTCCCGTTCAGGCAAAAGTCCTTTTGCGCAAAGCTTTTGCACAAAAGGGCCAGTGTAGACAGCTCAGATTTGTTTTGCACAAAAAAGCCCCGATCGTGAAAATGACGATCGGGGCTTTTTTGTGGAAAAGCACGTCTAGATTGGCACGGACTGCAGAAAAGCGTCCGTGCCAATCTAGACGCTCTTTTCCACAAATGCTTTTAACGGAAATCTTTTCCGTTAAAAGCATTTGTGGAAAATCATGCCCTCTAACATGCCCCAGCCTATATGCCTCCAATGCATCCAGACACCCAAGTCATCAGTGAGTCTGGCAAGATGGCATCTCTAGTTACAACCTCTGGGAAAGAAATACGGGGTGCTTCTGTAGCCACCCCCGTGCCTAAAGCACCTACGTGCCCACCACCCGTATTTAAAAGCACAAACAATTCCATGAGGACCTGCACTGGAAAGGCAGCCAGTGCACAAAGCTCTGGGGACCCCCCCACTGTCCAGGCCACCCCAGTTCCTGTGCCCCGATGCTGAGGCCTGGCCCCACCTTACAGCAGGTTTCCCCCTCCCGTCAGTGGGTGGCATTTCAGTGCCACACGCATCCAAGAGGGCAGGGGGATTCCCCGGCCACTCCAGCCCTTCTCCCGCCCCCTGCCCCACTGAGCACATCAGCCTCTGGTTTGATTTCCCCAGAACAAAGTCACCTCCTCCACCCCCAGCTCGGGCTCCCTCCCCGCCCGCAGGCCGCCGAGCCCCGGGCTCGCTTAGCACACGCAACGGGCGGCAGCAGCATCTCGGGCGGGCACACGCGATAGGCAGCGCCGCCTTCCTTTGGCGGCTACAAACATCTCCCGTCTAGTCTTCTGGGCGTTGATCCCCCTGAAATCAGCTCTCTCTATTGCGGGGGGGTCTCTCCCATCACCAGTATGGCCCAGCTCCCTCACCCCCTTAAAAACAAGTCCCAGGCAATTTCAACAGCCACTTTCCCCCCCAATCACATATTTTCAAGTTTTAGGAGACGACTTAAAAGGAGGGGGGGGGGTTAATTCCCCTATCCAGACCCGTAAGAAGGATCAAAGACTACAAGCACCATTTCTTATTTGATGGACTTTCCAAACCCCGAGGAACGAACATATGAAAAGCTATTTCACAAGCATTTCTTTGCTGTTTCAAGGGGTTTATGCCCACAAGAGAGAAAACTGCAGACAAAACACAGGATAGAGCTTTGAAATATTAAAAGCACAGACATCTCAAACCAATTAATACCCAGTGGTCGCATCAACCCTAAGGGGCTTTTTTAGCTCGTTACTAACTTTTAAACTCCAGTTACAGTTTTTCAAAATGAGATTAGGATCTTTAACAATTATTTCCTGCAAGCCCCACATTTTTTGGTGGAAGGTGGCCTCGAACATAAATTTTCTCTATTTTTTTGCTACTGCAAAACATTTTCTCTATTTAATTACTATGAGAAAGGGAGGATTTTACTAGTGTAAATAATATTTAGATTTTTCTTCCTGTTTTCCCGATCTGCCCCTTTTATGTCTAGTTAGAAAAAAATCCCCCAAAAATAAAGGACTCACCTCTGCTTGAGTTTTTCCCCACTCACACTACGTATAACTTTCCTTGATAAATGGTATGATATTACTAGAGATATTATTATAGTATTATTACTATTAGTAATAATAATAGTAAATGTTATTTAATTACAGAAGGAAGCATTCTGCTTCCGGATCTGCTGCCCCTGCAGCTCCCTCCATGTGCCTCCTGGTCTCTTTACTTTCATTTCCAGG